TCCCCTTCACGGGTCGCCGCGCACGGCAAACACATGGGTGGATGTTTAGATCCCAGAGAAAGTAACTGTAAATACAGAACCTTCCCTGGGAGGTCCCCTCACCACGTAGAGGAATCCACGTCGAGGGGCAGTAAATGTGACAACCTCGTAACCATTTTGTGCTTGTTATAGTTTTCATGCTATAGCTTTTAAATTGGTAAGCGAATGTTAACAAAATTTGGCAACTTATCAGTAAACATTACAATGCTTTCATACGCAAAATAAAACAAAATTCAAAATCTATTGTTTATTTCTAATTGTTTAGGATCTTTTGTTCACACCTAGGGAGGTGGTTAATATGTTGACAAACACAAAATACTTCTAAAACCACTTTATTTATTTTATATTGAGGTAGATAGATCAAAACCTCTTCTATCTAAATGAATTCAGCTATTTTCAGATGATTTCAGTTATTTTCAAAGCTAATACTTCATTAGTACTAGTTCTTTTGGCCATCAACTGTGATAATGTAGCAGTGTGTAGCAGGCTGTAGTAATCAAACAACTGACAGAGAACAAAAATGACATTATAACAAGACTTAGTTCATCATATTTACAAGGGACAACAGTTTCTTAGCAAATATAAATCTATATTTAGGAATAAGGCAGAAAACTGTATGAAAACAATTGCATTGTTTTTAGGATAGGCTCCCGAGCTGTGCAAGAATAAAGTTGAAAATTTTCAATATTCTTTATAACTGGACAACTAAAATAAAAAAGAAAGAGAAAAAGGTTGGCAGCAGGTGCCAGCCAGTCGCTTTCCCTCTTGCTTGTAGTTTAAAGTTGATGACAGTGCCAGATAGCCTTAGTTGATTTGCCATAACAAATACAGGATGAGCAAGTTTGGTGGCAATGGGAATCAAACCCAAGACCATCAGTACACCCAAAATGTACTGCTTTGACACCCTTGAATGAACCACTTGCAAATATATATATTTTTAAAATGTATCTACTCCCCCAGCAATCGGTTTTGTCACTTCCCCTGAAAACATATGATGTTATCAAAACACAATGCAATTACAGTTTAACAAAGGAAATACAGAAACTATACTCCTTGAATGGAATTAATAAATTAGATTTAAGTTTAAGCAGGAGTTTTCTCAAGGTCTCTTATGACAAAACTAGACCAAAGAAACAGAAATAAAAAAACCTAGACTTAATTATAGACCATATAACTCAAGTGGATTTAGTCTGCAGTTATAAATTGTGTTTGGAAGGACCCAGCAAATAAGTTGGGCTAAAAAAAATAGAGTGAAATAAACTAATACTTTTCTGTTAATTGTGTCTATATAGCCCAAAGAAAATAAAACCCACTTTTAAGTTGAATTACATTTCATTTTACTTCAAATATAATTTACTATGTAAATGAACTCAACTTTGATTACAGATTAATGTATATAAATGCTTATACTAAAGAATAGTATCAAGTGCAACAAAAATGTCATATTTATATATATAAATAAACCCTGAAATGTTTGGAAAAGTTCCTCTAGCTGTGTGTATGTGTGTGTGCTCAATGAGAGTCCAGAAATCCTTAGAACCACATCTTCATTACATTTATTACACTTAATTATAAGTATGCCCAAACAGCTTAGAAATGCCTTCAAATCTGTAGCCAAAATGTAAAGAAACCAAATTTGTTCAAACACTCCCAATAGTTCTTAGATATAACCAGTTTTTCTTGACCATTAGAGTATCAATTCAAATTCTTGACTTAAGATGCAACAGCATTACAATCTTAATTAAATCAAAACAATAACTAGACAGTTTTCAAACTAATAAGAAAGTTTGACATCAGATATAAATACTGACTTTAGAATGATAAAAAAAAAAGGTTATTCAAAAATCATAAATAATTATTCTATATCATTAATTATGATCTTTGGCTTTATTTATACTTTCCCTGACTTTTATGTTGTTAATGTTTCAGATTTTCATAGTTTTTCCTTGCCTTTTCATCCTACAAGCACGAGGTCTGTTCAGTGGACTGATGCCACACAGAAGAATAAATGTGTGTTATAAATCCAGGTTTAATAAGTGTACCTTCATGAAATTTAGCAAACTCTTAGTAAACCTGAAAATCCTATAGAACAAAAAACAAGAGGGAATCCCCCAATAACCATGTCAAACTCAAAATTCTTTTAGGCAGGATTAGAGTAACTTAATCACGAGATCTTTTTTTTCTCATTTTAGTAACTATATTTTTGTGCACTAGCAATACCAAGCACGGGGTGCTCATATAACACATTCAATTTTATTAGTCATCAGGATCTCTACCAGCTTACCTTCAAATTGAAATTCTTTTAGACAGGATTAGAGTAAATTAATCTAAGAGTTCTTGTTGTGGTCAAATATATTAATTGAAATGGTTTGACCTCCTGGGTCCAAAACTATAATTAGATCTCAAATCGGTCAAGAGATTATGGAGCTATGACATAAAAGTTTGTACTTGAAAAAAAAAAACAAACAAACTTAGAGCCATTCTGAGAGCCACTATGGTGCAGATTAAAATCAGATTTTTTGATAAAGTATTTTTAATAAAGATTTGTCTATAAATTTACAAATTAAGCCTGACTCAAACTGATTAGTTGAGTGTAAGATGATTTTCATGCTAAGATAAAAATTATTTTTTACTTTTACGTATTCATATTTCATTTACAGGACCTCTAAAGTCTTCTAGATGAATATCACAAATCTTATACTTTTTTGTCGCTTATTTTCTCTAACCTATTAAAAAGTATAATGAAAATATTTAAAAATATGAAAGTACTTTTTTTTCTAAAATGACTGCAGATTGTAACAGATAATTACAATTTTCTATCCTAAACAGGTTCATACTCCTAACAATTTCATATCTGCTTTCATTTTATCTTAGTTTTATTGCTTTTTGAACTATGTTTAACTACTAAACTGGTGTAACAAAGCAAAAAATCACCTGGTGGGAACATAGTTCAAGTTACAGTAAAAAAAGTATCAAATTACATAATATACAAGGAGCAGTTTGTATACTACCTCAAGTACAAATAAACATTTTTTTTTCCATTTACGTTTTGTTATCTAACCTAATAAGTTATAGCAATAAATAAAAACTATACAAAAAATAAGAAACTTAGTACTTATGCATGGGTCTTGTACTTTTTCTTATTGAAAGCTCAATAAAAGTTAACTCCTAATTTTTAATACTTTATTTTATTTATTTCAAATATGCAATTTAGACCACAAAATCACAAAAAACAAATAATACAATAGCTTGTATAAGTTAACTGGCTTTCTAATTAAGCTACAAGATAATTAAAATACTTCCCTCCCCTGGTTGATACGAAGCAGTTTGTTAAATAATTTAAGCACTATCATCAGATAGAGAGAGGTGGTCTTATATAGAAATCAATAGATTATTTTCTTTCTACTGGTTACAAGTAATCCAAGATAAAATGTTGAAGAGAATTGCTGAAATTTTTTTAAAACAAAAAGTGAAAGCAAGTCGTGAGTTTTATTTTATCTCACTAAAGCAAGGCAACTGGAGTCTACAAGTTCACATTTTAATTTAGCTCAGAGATATCTACAGTACAATTGTGAACCTTGTGGGAACTTGCAACTTCATATAATGGAGAAAATAACCAGAGCAATGAAGTGTCACATGATACAGAGAAGTGAAGACTGAGAACTTATATAAATATTTCCTTTTGAATCAACTCTTCGCCACATAAGCTCAGTCAATTTGACCGACCACATGAACTCTGTGCTCATTTAAAGTCTATCGTTTTGATACTACTAGCTTTTAATACAATATATACATCTTCACAAAATTTGGTAGACTTTCAGTAAAAAAATGTCTTTGATATAAAAAAAAAATCTTATATTTTTTTACTAGTACTTGTGCAGAGAAATTTTCATCTTTATCTCAAAGGTCATTTGCGTAATCTCTAAAACTTAAAAACATATGAAATGTTTATTTTCAGTAAACTTTATATTTTATCTGTTATTTTCTCTACTCTAACTATACATGGCATTATAAGTTGTAAATCACTAGGCGAATATAGACCTCATGTTACGCTATTGAATTACATTACCCACGAGCTACTCGCGTGCATGCCTTGTGAAACATTTTTTATTATATTATTTATTTTACCTACTCTAACATTAACTAACCTAAAGAGATCCCTATTTTTACATTTTAGTTACTTTTATAATAATTGATAAAAATGAAACTAAGAAAAGAATTACTTACCTGGGTCTTCTTTCTTTTGCTGTCGACTGTTGATGATACTTAATCCTACTATTTTTTTTATACTAATGGTAGTAATGCACTAAATAATTTTTATCTAATTAAATA